GCTATAAAAGGGTGTTTTCAGATCACTCAAGTATGTCAGAATTTGGATATGGCAGGCAAAAAGAAGTCTTGGTTGAACATGTCTTCCTAAAAGAACTCAGGACTGGACTCGAGCATTTTAGTGAGATCCAAAAATGTGTTTTCTATACCTTTTGTGTCAATACATGGAATGATATAGGACAGTTGAGGTATTTCACACAACAGTTTGTAAAGACAGTGTTGGAAGACATGATCATTGTCACATGTAACACAGAGCATCTTCACTGATCCAGGGTACTAGACATCCATTCTGTGCCGACAAATACCCTCGACCCACTTGTTTCCGTTGTTTTCTCTGACAAAGTGTCGTCACCATTCCCAGCTCTTCTCAATAACCTAACTTTAAATCAACCAGCATATGACGTCTGTGCAGATCAACATTCAAAATGGTGGCAATGGACAAGGAGTGAGTGCATATAGTTCAGAAAATTACTGAAAAATATATATCATACTTTGGAATATTAATTAAAACAAAGAAGAAATTTTCTGGCACCTAAAATGCATTGTTACAGGTGTTTTTGAAAATAATATTCCGGCTAATTGTTCTAAAAGAATATATCTGGTTTGGCAGCTGCTGCTGTCAAAGTGTCGAGTACATCCCAGAGACACTTCCAGAACATCAAGTTGCTTGTCCCGAACAAGGAGAAAGGAATGTCTTTATACCATAAGCCTTTCACAGGTATTTCAGGGATGTTACAAGAATTCATTTTTGTTTCTTGTTACATACTGCACTCATCAATATTCCAGCTTTGTAAACAATGAGGCATCTAACAAGTCGGAGAGGCTGACAACCTGACCATATAATCGCTGTTCATGACCGGCATGGGTTTCTGGTGGACATAGTGCATCCTTGGATACATATGGCGCCAAGAAAAAAAGGAAAAAAGTCTAGAACTAAATCTTATACAGCATCTTGTTTAAATCATCCATGAATAGTACTGTCTGATTGGAGAAGTATTTTCAGCAACACGTCACACCGGATGAAGTGATTGGTCCAGATTATTTATCACCACAGAATGGAGATTTATCACCCTTGATATGCAGAGGCTCATGCAGAAGGTTGGACACGTTTCAGGGAGGTTTCATGCAGGAGAACAATTGCACAGTTCAATAAAGACTTCACACAGCTGTCGTTCTATGAAGAATCATAAGTTTATTACATTCCCCAGACATACAAATCATTCTCTTCAAATCCTTCCGTCAAATCAGATAGTTTATTCATGTGTTCTGACTTCACGCTGGATGTACAAATGAGATAGTTTATTCACAAACACTGACTTCACACTGGAAGTACCAATGACGTACGCTCCCAAACCAGGAGTGAACCGTGTAATTTGTGGTGGCTTCCATGTTTGTATATACTACTGACCAACAACACATGATAACATCATTATAATCTCTAGAGCCATGATAGTCATAATCATGATAATCTCTTGTGCCATTGTCTTGATCATGATAATCTCTTGTGCCACGACAGTCATAATCATGATAATCTCTTGTGCCATGAGTCATAATCATGATAATCTCTTGTGCCACGACAGTCATAATCATGATAATCTCTTGTGCCACAAGTCATAATCATGATAATCTCTTGTCATAATCATGATAATCTCTTGTGCCACAAGTCATAATCATGATAATCTCTTGTGCCACGACAGTCATAATCATGATAATCTCTTGTGCCATTGTCCTGATCATGATAATCTCTTGTGCCACAATAGTATTAATAATGATAATCTCTTGTGCCACGATAGTCTTAATCAACTTATTCATGCCCATCTTGTTCATCTAAAGTTCTGTTCAGCTCATTCAGTTAGGATAATGTTTCAAACAGATTTCTCCATATTCAACTGTCGTGATTATTCCCAGCAGTCGGGTATAATTTTGTGATTTTGAACCAAAACAGAAGTCAATTCCAGCAAGTGACAAACTTTGAGGTCACCTGTACTCCTGTAAGTCACCAAGCTCTATCAGAGAGAAAGTTCACACCAGGGAACCAACTCTAAGGCTTCAGCAGACACAAACATATTCAGTACTGATAACAATGCACTATTGGCAAGACTGTTCAAGCATTGAGTATTATATACACATTAAAACATATAGATGCAAATTGAATACTAAACCAAGTTTCTGATTTAAATAAGTTTACTTGCAATAACACCTCTATTAAAGAAAACAATGATTACAAGAGCGAAATACAGGTTACATACATCTGAGCTGTTTCAGGAAAAATTGGAAATTTGAATATTTGAATATAAGTCTGTAAGCAGGTCAAGATAAACCCTTGTCTTTTGGCTGGAGATTATCAATATTTCCTACACATCACTGACGAATCAAGTGAGTGAGTGAGTTTAGTTTTATGCCGCTTTTAGCAATATTCCAGCAATATCACAGTGGGGAACACAAGAAATGGGCTTCACACAATGTACCCATGTGGGGAATCGAACCCGAAACTTGATCAAGTGAACACTCTGACGGATCAAAGGAAAGCCCAAAGTGATGCCGGTTAGTTTAGCTTAGCGTATTACATGGTTGGGTTATAAATGTTACTATTGTTACAGCTGGAAGCAGCAGCTGAGGAATACATCAACATCGGTCGGGTTTGGTACTTTAAACTGATTAATCTCTATTTTCCAATCCAACTTCAGTAGAGAATGTGTGAAAATCTTATTTAAACAAAAGCATTATTAGCACTGCTGCTAGTTTGGGCTTGATTAAAACATAGAAATGAAACTAGCCAGTGTTCTATACATAATCCAGGCACGAGTTTGTTCCTCGAGCTTCATGTACATCCAGTAACTAGCATCTAATGATACAAACATGGAAGCCAGGTAATTTGTAACTGATCAATCTCTGAACTCCTGGTCCAGCTGCATAGTGTTCTCAAACAAAGCTGGTGTCAGTTTCTATCTCATGGAAATCCCATCTTTTAGTCAGTGCCTACCAGCATGAAGACAGACCCTTCATACCACACCCTGTCAGGTGACCTAGCATGTCAACTCCAATCGAATCACACGGAGCTTCTTGAGCCAATAAGATGTCAGCTTCTAAAAATGATTTGGCTTCACTTTGGCTTCACTTTGGCTTCAGTGAGTGAGTGAGTGAGTGAGTGAGTGATGAGTGAGTGAGTGAGTGAGTGAGTGAGTGAGTGAGTAAGTTATGTTCAACACTGCTTTAAACATTATTCCAGTCATAACACAGTGTGCCAGCCATATGTGCAAGGAAAGCAAATGGTGATTTAAATCTCTGAAGTTTACCACTTGTGTGAAATTGCCAAGCTCTGTGATACTGCTGACAAACTAAGCAACATTTTGTGTGTGTACCTGGATTCGAATGTACAAACATCGGATTCTGGAGTACCCAAGGGATGCAAATCTGCCATCTAAACCAGGCAACCTAGACAACAGGAGTGTCCATGCCCCCATATTTCCTGAGCAGCTACATACAGAAAGCTTAATCTGAAACCCTTACAAATCACAAGTAGTCCTTCCATGATTCTCATACAGTCACAAAGTTTCCATGGTATAGCTCTCAGAAATGACAAGGCACAGGAAAACTCCACAACAAAACAATGACACAGCCTTCATCAATGACACAGCCTTCATCAATGACACAGCCTTCATCAATGACACAGCCTACATCAATGACACAGCCTTCATCAATGACACAGCCTTCATCAATGACACAGCCTTCATCAATGACACAGCCTTCATCAATGACACAGCCTTCATCAATGACACAGCCTACATCAATGACACAGCCTACATCAATGACACAGCCTTCATCAATGACACAGCTTTTCTCAGTCACATTCAGAACTACTAGCTTTAGTTCATTTTGGAGATACGGAAATGTTGCTCCGAATGTTTTGTTTTCTCTTTTCTAAGCTGATTGGGAACATCACCTGCTTCATCTTCTAGTATGGGTCAGATCTTCATGCAGAGACAGATCAGAATGAAAGATCAGATTTTAATGAGATTAGTGTCAATATCAGCCTGTCACCATGAGGCAATAAATATACACAATATATACATGGGTAATTAGGATCACAGGTGGAGGTACGTCGCTCACCGACACTCTAACTTCTCACACTCTCACGCTCTACAGAAACAAACGGATAACAGTGGACAGTGCATGGATAAATCAAACAAGCTAATAGGAAACGTGTTTTCTCAGATATCAATCTGTCTGTGTAACTGGGTATTGCTTGCATCAACATCTTCAACAAGAACCACTGATATCACGGTTACAGAGTGTATCCCGGTGAATTATTTGTTAGTGTTAAAATGTCAGATCTTAAGATTTATTTATCTAACAATGCATAATACCAAACAATAAAAATTATAATTTAGTAAATAAAACAAAAACACTGGAGCAAGTGGCATGGACAACGACTATGAATAATGGTGAAGTATCAACACTGATCAGGTATGGTCAAAATCAAGGAAATCGGGAAAATATAAAAATATTTTGAAATCTATTTTGAGGGCAATATTTAAGCTTGTATCTGTCATGAAATTATGCATTTTAATGATAATAATATATATACGAAAGATGCAGTATAATGTATATTGTGTATGTTTCAGGAGTGGATTTCAAAATGTGACATGCCTAATAAAACCTGTTGCTAAAAGACTAAAACCGCAGCCTGACTGTTATATACAACTAATCTTGTTCCCAGTGGCCAAAAAGACATAGTGTACTGCAGCCTTCGAAATTCATGTACGTCTGCATCCAAGACAACAAAAGGTGCAGTGGCTATGTAAAACCCCAGTGATGTAGACCGTTTGGCTCAAAAGCAGACCGATGAACTGCAACCTAACTAAAAAAATAATGAACACATAATGCTCAATGAAACACTGATCATAATCAAAACATCAGACCAACTCTGTGATTTATTAAAAATAAAAAAGTTGTTTGACAAACTATCATCAAAATTTGACAAAGTTCACTATTTGTTACGAGGGAGGAGTGCAAAGAAAGGGACAGCCAGGTGTGTGAGAAAGGATGGAGACGGCACAGCACAGCTTAATGAATGAAATAACTGTGTCGGCACTTGTGCACATGCTTCTCAAACACCTGGCTGCCCCTTCCTCTGCACTCCTCCCTCGTAACACATAGTGAACACAGCGTTTCATTGAGTATTTTATGTTTATTAGTTTTCGAGTTAGATTGCAATTCATCCGTCCGCTTTTGAGCCAAACGGACTATAGTAGTCATTGACCAGCAGGTGAGGTCCATAAATCTGAAACAGTTCGCAATGCTTTAATTTTTCTACAAATTGGAACTGTTCAAAATTGACAGAAAGTGCTGAGATAGCTACCATAGTTGTATTGTTCAAGCAGGACTAGCTACCAACCCCTGAAGTACGGTTTGCACGAGTCCTCTTGACTCGTCTTAAAAACACAAATTTCAAAGGCTGATGAAGACAGGCAACAATGACCACGATCAAATACACGAAAATTTGCATCTGTCCACTTAGATATACACCCTTCTGTCTCTTGGTCCCGTTTCGTTGTACGCATGTCATTTGAAAATCGGCCAAAAAAATAGGAACTGTCTAAAATCATATCATTATCATCATCATCATCATCATCATCATCATAATCTAAAAGTAAATACTACGACAACAATAAGTCCTTAAAAATCAGTACTATGAAAACAATCCAATATTCACTGTGATAAACAGTTCAAGAGACGCACAAAATCTTCATCAAAATACTGATCACATTAAATACAATAATTAACACATCAATAAATTAATTTCCATATTGCATATTGACCTAAGACTGCCTATTTAATTCATTTGTAGATGTGGGGGCCTATTTCGAGCTCCAGGAAAAGCTAGCTTTTTGAAAGCACTGTTTTTAGTAGCAATGGCAGGGGACTTTGACCTTTTAGGTAGACTTGACGTGTCCATGGCCTCCGGGTGGCGGTCGTGGTGGAGACCGTTGGCCTGGCCGATCTGGCCAATAGCAAAGCCCTCCACGATATGCTGATGCGACGGACTGAAAAAGAAGGGAGCAAGTGAGTGGGGCCCTGTATTCCATCAGGAAGCAGAGGAAGAGTGAGTGAGCGAGTGAGTATTGTTTTTACGCCACTTTTAGCAATATTCCAGCATTACCACGGCAGGGGGCACCACAAATGGGCTTCACACAATGGACCCATGTGGGGAATCGAACCTGGGCCTTCAGCATGAGGAGCGGATGCTTTAACCGTTAGGCTATCCCACCGCTCCAAGACAGGAAGAGATATGGCAAGGTCTGGTACTTTACTTGTTTTAACAGCTGATTTCACTATATAGACAAGTGTCTGTTGCCTGGTACATCAATGACAAGTAGAAATAGTTTGCATTGAGGAAATTGCATTATTGATACTGATTTGAATGACATATAACATGAAATACTTCAACACTTCTGGGAGTTACATGTGTCTGCTGTTGCCTTGACAACACCTTGATGTGGAAAGAAAGTTCAGGGTGATGCAGGTCTAGGACTAGCCGTCTCACAGTCCCCTAACCACAATATTTTCCCTATTGATAAGCCCGCCTCAAATGCTAAAACCCTAAATGAAACAAGTCTAGACTCCCTCAGGTTCATCCCACTGGGTCTCCTTTTCAATTTAAACAAGAAGACAAAGTCATCAATATCCCCCTCAACGGCAAAATACTCTTAAGGAATATGTCTACTAGTTATGATTATGTTTTGGAGTGTATACAGCAAAGTGGAAGGAAAGTATTGAAAGGTTTTTAAGATGTGCTCCAGAAAAGAGCACTACCAACAAATTCAGTTGAAGCCTAACTTGTTGCATGGAAATGCAACAAGGCGACATCCTCATAGCCACAGCATAAGTCATGTTTACATGAAAACCGCAAAAAATAAAATTAATATCTGGGTCTAACCCCCAAAAGGCACATCTAGGGACCATGGTTGACATGTGTACCGAGTTTGGTTAAGTTAGCATGTATAGTTTGGGAGATCTGCTTCGGACAAAGTGTGACGGACACACAAAACTTGTTTCTATATCCCCCACAACTTCGTTGTTGTGGGGGATAATTACATATATAAAGAAACTCACACCATCCTCGATAATCTCCAGTGTATACCCTTTGGATGCATATCGATTACCTCCCTGTGCTGGCTTTTTATCCAATCAGGTGTCTACGCTGGGATGCTGAGTGTACCAATCACAAGGCTTCTATCATAACTCACTTTTGTTTTTTTTATTTAACCGATTAAAGTCGGCAACACAATTGATGCAGAGGTACTCTGAAAGGGGTAGAAGGAGTTCTTGCACCCGTTTTTTTAAGATTTCAGACCTGTCATTTTATCTGAATGATGTTTTCCCTAAATCTGAGTCGCACAGCGAGCAAACCTTCGTGGCTGCGGCTGCTATCTTTGTTGAAAATGGCAAGCTCGGTTGTAAAGGCTTATCTGATTGGCTCCTGCCACAAGGCAGACCCAGCAAAGGGAGGTAATATAATTTTCGGGCCGAGCCGTAGATGAATCCAGGGTACTAGTGGAGATTTATCAGAACGTATACCCTTGAGATTATCGAGGATGATCTCACCCAAGTGTCTACTGATATCAATTATATCAACGAGTGTTGATATATTTAATATCAGAAGACGAGGGTGATATTCTATTTATCATCAAAAATAACGCTTCATTAGCTTTCAATGAAAAATGTACACCTCTGAACACGGTAGTGCCATTAGACTTGCAGTGCAGCGATGTCATAGCATTGTGACGTCATCAAGTTTATGAAGTCATAGCATTGTGACGTCATCAAGTTTATGACGTCATAGCATTGTGAGTCATGTAATTAATGACATCAGAGCATTGAACAAAATCTACTGTCAAAACGCTACCTCCTAGGAGATATCGTTTGATCTCACATAAGCAATATCTCCAGTGGGACAGAGTTTGGGTTGATAAAATCAGAGGGAGCCTGCCATTATACCTGACGGCTCCTCGTAGATTGGAGGCCATCACTTTGCGTGGGGATCTCGGTTCCTTCTCTGATATCCACGGCTTGTTCATCTCGTAGAGCACTGACGGTGCTACATAAGTGAAGCCCTGAAATGTAGTAAAGAACACATCACTAGTTTGTTGTTTAATGCCCAACTCATTCCAGACACTTGATGGAAGCTTGTAAACAAGTAAGTGTGAACCAGGCAAAACATCAGTGATCAAAATGAGATGTAATCCAAGCCATAGCTGGGGACTGATTTCACCACTGTCAGGCTGCACTGTGTAGGTGAAATATTGATAGTGCAGGTACATTTCAGATTTCTGTTAAAAGAATGAGATCTACTTATCAAAATTAGACAATACTAAAGAATTATGACATGAAGCAAATGGGTGTGTTTTTTAGTCTATTAGTATTACCTCTGAGTGCAGATGTGATGACAAAGAAGCTGATCTACTTACAAGAAAGACTTGGTTGGCACTCTCACTGAGCACTGAGTCGTCCGGGGAATCGACTGGGGTCTGCTTGGTGAACTTGGTGTCAAACTGACTCACATCCTCATCCCCAGTCTGGAAAAAAATAATGGTAACATTTAGGGTCACGATGAAGGTTATGTTGATGGATACGATGAGGGATACGTTGAAAGTTATGATGAAGGATACGTTAAAGGTTATGATGAAAGTTACGTTGAGGGATACGATGAAGGTTACGTTGAGGGATACGATGAAAGTTATGTTGAAGGATACGATGAAGGATATGTTGAAGGATATGTTGAAGGTTATGATGAAGGATACGGTAAAGGTTATGATGAAGGTTACGTTGAGGGATACGATGAAGGTTACGTTGAGGGATACGATGAAGGTTACGTTGAGGGATACAATGAAGGTTACGTTGAGGGATACGATGAAGGTTACGTTGAAGGTTACGTTGAGGGATACGATGAAGGTTACGTTGAGGGATACGATGAAGGTTACGTTGAAGGTTACGTTGAGGGATATGATGAAGGTTACGTTGAGGGATATGATGAAGGTTATGTTGAGGGATACGATGAAGGTTATGTTGAGGGATACGATGAAGGTCATGTTGAAGCTTACATTGTGGGATACATCAAGGGTCACGATGAAGGTTATGTTGAGGGATACGATGAAGGTCATGTTGAAGCTTACATTGTGGGATACATCAAGGGTCACGATGAAGGTTATGTTGAGGGTTATGATGAAGGTTATGATGAAGGTTATGATGAAGGTCATGTTGAAGCTTACATTGTGGGATACATCAAGGGTCACGATGAAGGTTATGTTGAGGGATACGATGGATCATACGTTGAGGGATATGATGAAGGTTACGTTGAGGGATATGATGAAGGTTATGATGAAGGTCATGTTGAAGCTTACATTGTGGGATACATCAAGGGTCACGATGAAGGTTATGTTGAGGGTTATGATGAAGGTTATGATGAAGGTTATGATGAAGGTCATGTTGAAGCTTACATTGTGGGATACATCAAGGGTCACGATGAAGGTTATGTTGAGGGATACGATGGATCATACGTTGAGGGATACGATGAAGGTTACGTTGAGGGATACGATGAAGGTTACGTTGAGGGATACGATGGATCATACGTTGAGGTTATGATGAAGGTTACGTTGAGAGATACGATGAAGGTTACGTTGAGAGATACGATGAAGGTTACGTTGAGGGATACGATGGATCATATGTTGAGGGATACGATGAAGGTTACGTTGAGGGATACGATGGATCATACGTTGAGGTTATGATGAAGGTTACGTTGAGAGATACGATGAAGGTTACGTTGAGAGATACGATGAAGGTTACGTTGAGGGATACGATGGATCATATGTTGAGGGATACGATGAAGGTTACGTTGAGGGATACGATGGATCATATGTTGAGGGATACGATGAAGGTTATGTTGAGGGATACGATGGATCATACATTGAGGTTATGATGAAGGTTACGTTGAGAGATACGATGAAGGTTACGTTGAGAGATACGATGAAGGTTACGTTGAGGGATACGATGGATCATATGTTGAGGGATACGATGAAGGTTACGTTGAGGGATACGATGAATTTTACGTTGAGGGATACGATGGATCATACGTTGAGAGATACAATGAAGGTTACGTTGAGAGATACGATGAAGGTTACGTTGAGGGATATGATGAAGGTTATGTTGAGGGATACGATGGAGGTTACGTTGAGGGATACGATGAAGGTTACGTTGAGGGATCCGATGAATTTTACGTTGAGGGATACGATGGATCATACGTTGAGGGATACGATGGATCATACGTTGAGGGATACGATGGATCATACGTTGAGGGATACGATGAAGGTTACCTTGAGGGATATGATGGATCATACGTTGAAGAATACAATGAAGGTTACGTTGAGGGATACGATGGATCATACGTTGAGGGATACAATGAAGGTTACGTCGAGGGATACGATGAAGATTACGTTGAGGGATATGATGAAGGTTATGTTGAGGGATACAATGAAGGTTGCGTTGAGGGATATGATGAAGGTTACGTTGAGGGATATGATGAAGGTTGCGTTGAGGGATATGATGAAGGTTACGTTGAGGGATATGATGAAGGTTACGTTGAGGGATACAATGAAGGTTACGTTTAGGGATATGCTGAAGGTTACGTTTAGGGATATGCTGAAGGTTACATTGAGGGGTACGATGAATGTTACGTTGAGGGATGAAGGTAACGTTGAGGTTTACAATGAAGGTTATGATGAAATTGGTATTTTTGTAGAACAATCAAAACTCCACCAACTTGCACAGTGAGTCAATGTGGTGGAACACTACACTGAAGGTGTGAGTTGAAATTAGGACTTTCCCTTGACAAACAATTTCTTTTCACCAAAATATAGAGTGAGTGAGTGAATACAGTTTAACACTGTGCTGAACAACATTTTGGTTCAGATCAGCTTCACATAAGCAGTGAGTGAGTGAATGAGTAAGTGGGTGTGTGAAGTTCTAGGCAGCCTTTAGATATATTAAAAAATATCATGACTCAGGACACAAGAAATGGTCTTCATACACCTTACCCATGTCAGTAATTGAACCCAGGTCTGTGATGTGATGGGCGAACACATTAACTACATGCACTCACATGAGAGAAAAGACTAGAGTGACGCAGAAGACTTTACCGCATTCGTGAAACTAACACGATCAGGGATGAAAAAAAGATCTTGAGGATTGGCAGAAAGCTGGAATTGAAAGGGAACTCGTCTGGAGAACTTACCACATTGGGTTTAAATGGCGGCTCAAACCTCCTTGCTAGCAGCTCAGACCAGTCAATGTGACGAAAGAAGGCATGAGACTGAAAAAAGAGGAAAGTATTACCAAGGGGTAACAAGAAGACAAAGTCATCAATATCCCCCACAATGGCAAAATACTCTTCATGATTATGTCTATGAGTTATAATTATGTCAAATATTTAGGTTTTAAAGTTCTGCTCCAGAAAGGAGCACCATCACCAATTTCAGTCTAAGTCGAACTTGTTGCAATGGAAATGCCAAAACTACCAAAAGGTACCAGTACACCACCTGATCTATGTATGTTCCAAGTTTGGTGAAGAAACATTGAACGGTTTTAGAGTTCTGCTCCAGAAAAGAGCACTACCACTAATTTCAGTCTCTAAGTCGAACTTGTTGCCATGAAACGCCAAAAATATTTTATTCAGAATTCCAAAACTACCAAAAGGCACCAGTACACCACCAGATCTATCTATGTGCCAAGTTTGGTGAAGAAATATTGAACGGTTTTAGAGTTCTGCTCCAGAAAAGAGCACTACCACTAATTTCAGTCTCTAAGTCGAACTTGTTGCCATGAAACGCCAAAAATATTTTATTCAGAATTCCAAAACTACCAAAAGGCACCAGTACACCACCAGATCTATCCATGTGACAAGTTTGGTGAAGAAATATTGAACGGTTTTAGACTTCTGCTCCGGAAAAGACAAATGTGCACGGACGGACGCAGTCCATTTTAATACAAACACACACACACACACACACACACACTCAAACGCGTTGAGGGGGATAATAAAAGTTAACTCCGACCCTACTGAGCACAACTAGAGTGATCTGTAGACATACTGAAGTGTTCCCAACCATGTCCAGTGTGAGAAGATGATGGGAGTACTGGGAGCTTGAGGTTTATTGACATAGTACTTAATACTAGGGACTAATTACATTCCTTGTTTGTTGTTGGATGACGCACTCAGCAATAGTCCAGCTATATGGCAGCGGTATGTAAATAATCGAGTCTGGACCAGACAATCCAGTGACTGACATCTTGAGCATCGATCTACATAATTTGAATACGATGACATATGTCAACTAAGTCAGTAAACCTGATCACCCGATCCCGTTATTCACCCCTTGCGATAAGCATGGGTTGCTGAAGACCAATTCTAACCGAGATCTTTACCGGACTCAATTTTAATGTTTGTACAAAATGACAAGGTCCCTTGACTTTCATTTGGAATTCTTAAAACTTATCTGTTTGAACATTAAGCAATGTATATGGATCACAAATTTCATGTCAGGTCTTGATGTTAAAAGGTATATATGTACAGGTTACCTAGATTCAAATACCAAAGGATCGTATGACCCCTGTCAAAAATACAGCACAGCCTTAAAACAGTTGTTAAGTTATCAGCGTACCTTGATTGGATTTGCATCATCAGCCCCTCCTCCCAGTCTCTCCGACGGAGACTTCCTGAGTAGCTGGCAGAACAAAATACATGCATCAATAATAATATAGTGGCCTATGTATTTTAACATTGTAGAAATATTACTGCTTATATTAAAGGCTAACTGCAACATAACTACTGACTTGTCAGGATGTGAACAGGAGATATCTGCTGGCCAAATGGAAGATAAATGAGATAACTACCAGCTTACTGAAAGATACATCTTTGTATTAATGAGAAGCTTACCCTCTTGATGAGACCTCTGGCTTCATTAGTGAGATATGGAGGCAAGCTCAGCTTGGCTTTCAGGATCTGAAAACAGAAGCACAATCTGTCATACCTGCCCTATGCAAAAGAATTATCTCCCCCTGGTGGCATGTGGTCCTGTGCGTAGAGCTCAGGTCACAAATCAGTTGAAGTTATGCAACATTGGTCGCGGAGAGTCCTTGCATGGGTGACCATGTTCGGCAGCTTGACTCCTGAGAGTTTCTAGGACTTCAGTCCTGCCCCACAACGAAACACGTGATACATGTGGTTTCACCTTAGGTAAGTGATTTTGTTCAAAATTGCCTCTGTCATTGTCATGTGACTATAACCTTCTAGCGCCTCACAGGCAGCTTAAGTTATCCGAGGTAATAATGAACTGTCTGTCTGCATGCATTTCGAGCAGGCACTTGGTGTATGCAATTAAGGGCTATGGAAGGACACAACATAATTATATTATGATAAAAGATCAACCGCATGTCATACTACTCTAAGCTATTTCTGAAGAGGTGTGAAACGAGCCTCAGTCTTCTATTTTATGTACCTGTGTTTGGTACTAAACAAAACTAAAGGAAAAAATATTGCTCTCTGAGAACCTATTGCATATGTCTTCAATGTCGGAGTGTGGCTACTTACTTTGTCAATTGTTTTCTTTCGGTTTTCAGCCGTGAATGGTGGCTGAAAGAGAAGGTTATTCATAAGGAAGGACTTCTATTGTGTGTATTTTCACCAATTATGTTTCGATGTCATCAGAATATACCATTTCCCCTGTAACAGGTCATCAGTATCTACCATTTCTCCTGTAACAAGTCATCAGAATATACCGTTTTCCCTGTAACAAGTCATCAGTATCTACCATTTTCCCTGTAACAAGTCATCAGTATCTACCATTTTCCCTGTAACAAGTCATCAGTATCTACCATTTTCCCTGTAACAAGTCATCAGTTTCTACCTTTTCCCCTGTAACAAGTCATCAGTATCTACCTTTTCCCCTGTAACAGGTCATCAGTATCTAACATTTTCCCTGAAACAAGTCATCAGTATCTACCATTTTCCCTGAAACAAGTCATCAGTATCTACCATTTCCCCTGTAACAAGTCATCAGTATCTAACATTTTCCCTGTAACAAGTCATCAGTATCTACCATTTTCCCTTACAAGTCATCAGTATCTACCATTTTCCCTGTAACAAGTCATCAGTATTTAACATTTTCCCTGAAACAAGTCATCAGTATCTACCATTTCCCCTGTAACAAGTCATCAGTATCTACCATTTTCCCTCTAACAAGTCATCAGTATCTTCCATTTTCCCTTACAAGTCATCAGTATTTAACATTTTCCCTCTAACAAGTCATCAATATTTAACATCCATCATCAGTTTTGTAAGTACTTCATCAGCATATTGTAGTTATCAGAATCAGATCCGTCAGCTTATTTCCCCTGTATGTAACAGGTTGTCAGTGTCCACAACTCACCGCTCCAGTCAACATGTCGTACATGAGGGCACCAAGGCTCCACCAGTCCACTGCCTTGCCGTGACCGCTGCGGGTCAGGATCTCGGGGGCCCTGTAAGATCAGCACATACATTTCATGGAGGATTCTCATACAAAAGTTAACGGATCAATGCATCGTGTTATTGTAACCACAGTTAACAGATCAATGCATTCAAAGGTACCCAGAGAGTATTGGCTCACATACTCACATGTACTCAATGGTCCCACAGAAGGTATGAGTCACGGTCCCATCGTTGATGGATTCTTTACACAGTCCAAAGTCGGTCAGCTTCACGTGGCCTAAAACAAACGTCATACACTTAAGTGTTTGTTGTTCTTATCATAAAGACCCGCTCACCAGAAAATGAATCTTTTTATAGGCCACTATTTTCCTTTTTTGGAAAACAAACTTATATTAGTGAAGTAATCCTTTAACAATGAGGAAGAAGAATACACATGTAGATTAAATGTCAAGGTCAACATGACAGCTTCGATGTTTGTCTGGGCTCTGTGTCAGACATACCCTGTGAGTCAAGGAGAATGTTCTCGGGTTTCAGATCTCGGTATATGATACCCTGGGAGTGGAGATGCTCAATGGCAAGGGTGATCTCGGCAAGGTAAAAGCTGTAAACACAAAATACACATTACATTACATAACATTGGCTGGTATTCTTATGGAGTAATCATACCTTCTGCAATTTCTCAACAATAAAGATCGAACTAACCTGTAGAGGTTTCAGATTCTTTGAATATATTCCTCCTTGGGGTACTTATAAGCATTTAAATGTCCATCTAAAATCCCTACGACAGTTTTAACAATATTTGAATAAAATATTTACAAAACAAAAAACAATGTTTTGTCTTGTGAGACCACCCTTACAGGGCCCTACGGCTCCCTACAGCCAAGAGCAGGTAACTCTAGACTATAACCTCGTACCTCACTTTCCATGCTGAACGAAATCAGACAGAATGTGGGGAGGTGGGCGGGCGTACCCCAAGGAGGAATATATTCAAAGAACCTGAAACCTCTACAGGTTAGTTCGATTCTTTTTTATATATTCCTCCTTGGGGTACTTATAAGCATAAGACAGACTCCTAAAGACGGAGCTAAGGAGTGGCATTCTGTCCGCACAAAACACCCCCAACAAGAAGTGGAATTTCCCAAGCTAAAAATAGCAGAAAAAAGCTCACTTACCTGGTCACGTGTCCACCATAGCCAATCAGGCGGGGGCATGAGCCAGGGTCAGGGTCGAACACATTACGATTACAAAGCGAAACTTCGCTAATGTAAACAGGCGAGATAAACCCTCCCTCCCTCCCGTTAATCAATCGGAAATGAAGATAAGGGAATCCAACAAGAAGCCTCAAGAAACAAAATGCCATAATACGTCTATTAAGCAAAGGTTTCCAAGGCAAATAAGTCTAGAGCAGAACGGAGTAATGCAAAAGACATGGGAATAAAAACCATCACCATATAAAAACCCGTCACCAAGGGAATAGGTAAAAGTTGTTTTTATTTCGTGTAAAAAACCAACACCAGTGAAAAATGGCAGAAAATGGTTAATGTCATAAAATCCTCGAAAGCTCAATCGGCTAGAGAGGTGGAACCATGCCCACTGGAGAGAACTGACTGACCGAACCGAGCACGCTCACTGGAGAGTCTGTCAAGTTGGTAATGACGGATGAACGTACTCGGACGGCTCCAAATAGCCGCAGAGCAGATCTCCTCAATGGGCAGGGCTGCAGCGTAAGCTTTCGATGTAGCAACTGCCCTAACCGAATGAGCTTTCAAACCTGCAGGCTGGATACGACCTGTGTGAGTATAGCTCATATGTATGGCAGAGACAAGCCACCTAGATATGGTTTGCTTGGTCGCCGGAAGACCAGCCTTGACCCCGCCATAACAACAAAACAATTGGTTATCCTTACGGATACCCCTTGTCTGCTTGATATAAGCCTTAAGGGTCTTACTGACATCTAAGACGTGAGCACGTCGTAGAGAGGTACCGGGCAGGGGAGGCTGAGTGAAAGCCGGGAGCTCAATAGGCGCTGTCACATGAAAGGCACTAGCCTTCTTAGGGCGGTAAGTATCAGGCAGCCGTATGCTAACTCAGTCTTGGTGAAAAACAGTGAGCGCGGGATCGGCTGACATTGCGTGAATATTGCCAACCCGCCTGCCTGAAGTTACCACCACAAGAAAAGCTGTCTTCCACGTTAACAGCTGGAGGGAAAGAGCCGACAGATTGTAAAATAGTGGACCGGACAGCCAATCAAGAACGATTGGCAAGTCCCACGGGGGACTAATCCGCCGGACAACCGGACGGATTCTGTCCACGCCTGCTAAAAAACGCTGCACAAGAGGGTGCTGCCCCAAGAGTGCACCGTCAACAGGAATATGGAAAGCCGAAATAGCCGTAGAATAACCTCGAACAGTTGAAGCCGCTAGACCGGCATCCAACCGAGACTGGAGGAATTCCAACAGAGATTAAATCTGCAGAAAAGGGATCAAGAATCCCCCTGTTGACACACCAACGCGCATAACAGGCCCATCTATCCTCATACTGAACGTTTGTCGAATCCCTCCGCGAAGCCAGAATTGTGTCTGCAACTGGTGCAGGAATTCCGCTCGCTTGGAGGTGATCCCGGACAGCGGCCAAGCCACCCACTGAATCCTGGGATTCGGGTGGGGTGCTCCGTTCTGGGATAGGAGGTCCGGTCGAAAAGGTTATAGAACAGGAGGCTGAGCCAGAAACCTGATGATTACCAGAAACCAACTTTGAGCCGACCAAAGGGGTGCAAGAAGCACAAGTAGCCGAGCTGGTTCAAGTAAGACACACTGCAACATAACTAACAATTACGACTGAAGGCGTAAATATAGAGAATGCTAGCAGCGGAAACAACGCCCCACATGTAATAACATACAATTAAAAACATTATAACCACACTAAACATTGCAAACCACAAGGGAAGCCATTGAACAATGAGGATAGCGAAGGAACCTGGCCGCCATCTTGACACGCACCTGGCGAGCCGACAGCGACAGGGACCAAGTTACAACAAAAAAGATGAATGAAAATATTCAGAACAAATCTCCAAATCGCCCATGCAGGGAAAAAAGAGAACCATACATACAGTAGCTGTGTCTGAAACACTTATATTCGCAGAGGAAATTAACTTCGTCGAAGTGGACCCACGTCTAGTCGGGGAAACGACAGCATGGAAAGTGAGGTTACAGTCTAGAGTTACCTGCTCTTGGCTGTAGGGGGCCGTAGGGCCCTGTAAGGGTGGTCTCACAAGACAAAACGTAGTTTTTTGTTTTGTAAATATTTTATTCAAATATTGTTACAACTGTCGTAGGGATTTTAAATGGACATTTAAATGCTTATAAGTACCCCAAGGAGGAATATATAAAAAAGAAACATAATTATACTTCTTCTAGTTTCTCCTCTGAATCCTTACTCACCAAGCAGGCATCCTATCAGACTCACCAAGCCATGTCCTACACAATAGGCTAGACCCATGCCCATCTGGATTAGAACTGGCCTTCACGCAACCCATGCGACTTACAGGATCAGGTGGTCAGGCTTACTGACTTGGTTGACATGTCATCGTGTCTCAATTGCGCAGATCGAGGTTCATGATGTTGATCACAGGAATATCTGGTGCCCTACACCCACCAAGCCGTGTCCCACATACACACCAAGCCGTGTCACACACACCACATACCCACCAAGCTGTCACACACACCACATACCCACCAAGCTGTGTCACACACATCATACACTCACCATGCCGTGTCACACACACCACATACCCACTAATCCGTGTCACACCCACCAAGCCGTGTCACACACACCACACACCCACCAAGCCGTGTCATACACACCACATACCCACCAAGCCATGTCACACACCACACACCCACCAAGCCATGTCAAACACACAACATACCCACCAAGCTGTGTCCCACACACCACACACACACACCAAGCCGTGTCCCACACACCACACACACACCAAGCCGTGTCACACACCACATACACACCAAGCTGTCACACACACCACACACACACCAAACCGTGTCACACACCACACACACACACCAAGCTGTGTCACACACCACACACACACCAAGCTGTCACACACACCACATACCCACCAAGCTGTGTCACACACACCACATACCCACCAAGCCGTGTTCACACACACCACATCCCCACCAAGCTGTGTCACACACACATCCCCATTAAGCTGTGTCACACACCACACACACACCAAGCTGTGTCACACACACCACATACCCACCAAGCCGTGTCACACACACCACATACCCACCAAGCTGTGTCACACACACCACATACCCACCAAGCCGTGTCACACACACCACATCCCCACCAAGCTGTGTCACACACACATCCCCATTAAGCTGTGTCACACACCACACATTCACCAAGCTGTGTCACACACACCACATACCCACCAAGCTGTGTCACACACACCACATACCGACTAAGCTGTGTCACACACCACACACACACCAATCTTTGTCACACACCACATACCCACCAAGCCGTGTCACCCACCCACCAAGCACACACACGCGCGCCACACACACACACACACACACACACACCAAGCCGTGTCACACACACTCACCAAGCCGTGTCCTCCATGAAGATCCCCTCCCGCTCCAGCTGCATGAAGAGCTCCCCTCCAGGCAGATACTCCAGGATGAGATACAGCTTGCCTCCTGTCTGGAAGGCGTAGATCAGATCTACGATGAACGGATGCTGAAACAGAACCACATGGGTGAACAATGTTAAACACAAGTTCTGACCAGAAGAGGAAAGAAACACAAAACCTAAGAAGAAGACAAAGTCATCAATGTCCCCCACAACGGCAAAATACTCTTAAAGGGCAAGTGTACACGAATAAATCACATTTATTCTTATGTGAATCAAAGTGAACTGTTTTAATAAGTTAATACCAATGTTTGAAAATATACACTCATTTTTCTTACAACGTAAGTATAACCCTCAAAATAAGTGCTGAAATGTTATGCCAATATGAGGTATTTTTTTGCCGAGCTAAACAGGCCAGAGTTACCCCCCTTTGATTATGACGTAATTGGTGCCACTTGAATTTAAACTGGTCTCCTGTCTAGTCCCAAATCAAAAGATAATAATACTGATATTATTCACGCGAAAAAAGTTCGTGAAAATAATGAAGAAGCATAAGAACAGAAAATGTAAGCAGCAGGACGGATTGGTCGTGTGTATTTTCATTCATAACCTCGCCTCAATGAAATACCAAATATGTATAACAATGTTGACGTCCGTATGACATCACTATCGGAAGCGACTTTTGCAAAATGGCGTGTTCACTGACACGAAGTTTTCGAAGGACATTTTCGTTGTTTCAAGCAACGATATATGCATAAATGTGACATGTAAGTAGTCGGAAACTTCTGACAGTCTGCTGGTTGTTATTTTCTTTTGTTTTCATTGTGACCAAGGGAAATAGTCAGAAATTAAGAGAAGTACCGCCATCGTGTGCGTGAGTTTCGCGTCAGTTATGGCGTCATGCTTTCAAAAACTATAATATGTTGTGATGAATCTAGAAAATCATTGGCATACACCTGTTTTATTTAACTATCGCTGCTACGATACCTTTCCCATGCATGTTCTAAAACTAATGAGCAATTGTATGCAACAAGTAGGCGAACGGATACACAGTGTAAAATCTGAGATTGGCTTTGTATACATTTCAAACAAGTATTCTTTCACAACGCGGCAACTCATATCTTCGATATATTTCGTTAGATTTCACTGAAACACTTCGTATTGGTGACAAAGTCCATTTGTCAGTTTATTTTGAACTGTATGAGGAATTCAGGGATTCATGTAAGGAAGATGGTGTTGAACTTTATGGACGAAACATAACAAGTTTATCGTTTGGGCACCAATGATGTCATTTCCAAGGGACATAAGCCATGGTGTGTTTATTGTGGACATAGAACTCTTGGTAAATGTTGAAAATATGAATTGATATAACGCAAATAATAAATTAGTTACTTCTGATTTATGTACGGGTTTGGATATAAAACGATTTGATAAAACCTTTTTATGAAGAAAACGTGCAAGACAAAAAGGTTAATTTTCGTGTACACTTGCCCTTTAATGAATATGTCTGCTAGTTATGATTATGTCAAATGTTTTGGAGTGTATACAGCAAAGTGGAAGGAGAGCATTGAAAGGTTTTTAAGATCTGCTCAAGAAAGGAGCACTACCACCAAATTCAGTTGAAGCCTAACTTGTTGCCACGGAAATGCAACAAGGCGACATCCTCATAGCCACAGCATAAGTCATGTTTCCATGAAAACCGCAAAAAGTAAAATTCATATCTGGGTCTAACCCCCAAAAGGCACATCTAGGGATCATGCTTTATATGTCTACCAAGTTTGATGAAGCTAGCATGTATAGCTTGGGAGATCTGCTCCGGACAAGATGACATCCTCATAGCCACAGCCTAAGTCATGTTTCCATGGAAACCGCAAAAAATAAAATTCACATCTGGGTCTAACCAGATGCCTGTCCCCAAGGGCCAGTCATTGTGATACAATCATACCATAGGCAGTCACTATGATACAAGTCATATCAAGGGCCAGTCATGGTGATACAAGTCATATCAAGGGCCAGTCATTGTGATACAAGTCATATCAAGGGCCAGTCATTGTGATACAAGTCATACCATAGGCAGCCATTGTGATACAAGTCATATCAAGGGCCAGTCATTGTGATACAAGTCATACCATAGGCAGCCATTGTGATACAAGTCATATCAAGGGCCAGTCATTGTGATACAAGTCATACCAAGGGCACTACTCTAGATACATGTTGTCTAGTCAAACACACGGGTTCTATTCCCCACATGGGTACAATTTGTGAAGCCCATTTCTGGTGTTTCCGCCGTGATATTGTTGGAACATTCCTAAAAGCGGCGTAAAACCATACTCACTCACTCTGACACACGGAGGTAAGGTGAGTTGTGTGTATAAACTGTCAGCAGATGCTGTCAACAGTAATGTAGATGTTACCTTCACACATTCCAAGATGTTCCTCTCTGCCTTGGTGTGAGCTGTGTCCTTGGCATTCCGGGCTATCGTAGCCTGCAACACAACGTGAGGAACATGTATGCTGATACTGTACAAGCTTCAACTCAGACTTTGTTTCCAGAAATTGGTGCCTGGTACACAACCACACATAATGAACACAGACAATTTCATATGTTGCGCAATAATAGTCACCAGGGCTCCAGATAAAGGCCGTATCGGCGTATGTAAGGATAGAAAATAGGTACAATACGGTAGGAAATATTTTGGTATTTACTTGGTACGTACTCCTGATGTTAAAAATTTATCTGGAGCCCAGAGTCACTGAACCAAATTCTTGAATTCAAGAAATATATAAGACACAATAATTACTAAATAATTGGTACAATACCATTGTCAAGACCCTTGAAATTAGTCATGATGGGGTTCTCTAGACCCTAGTTTTGTAGGTCAAGGTGCAGCCCTGTCATCATCAAGTAATACACCAAGGAGAGTTAGAAATGTAATCAGTGAGTGAGTGAGTGTAGTTTTATGCGGCACTCAGCAATACTGGGAAGACATTTACAGTGTATACTCTGTTGTCCTATAAGCTCTTGGCTTCATCCGTTCATTGTTATCTTTGTACATTAATCCTATCCAATTGGTTTCCCATCATGTTGTTATTCTTGTACATCACTCCACCCCCACTCTTTGATTTGTGTACCCACTACATTATTTTCTTTATGCATTAATCCTATCTTATGGGCTTCGTAATTATATTATTGGCTACGTAATTATATTGTTATCTTTGTTCATTCTCCCTCCTTGCATTGTGTAAACATGTTTTATCTATATTCACTCTTAGTACTGACTCAGTATTCACCGGAAGGAGCAAGAATTAGCTCTGAAACGTGTAAAGAATGAAAAAAGAAGAAGTTGTTATCCATAAAATGTGTCATGTATTCAAGCCTACACATCCACTTACAAATGAGGTTTCCCCTTGAAATTGACATCCCACACTGTGGAACCGTGGAAGTGATTGCTCGCTTACATTGTCACTACCAAATGGTGGGGACAGATTAACTGTTACTTCAGTATGTAGATCACAGGATCTGCATGTTTTGTGTTTGTTTGTTGTTTAACGCCGCACTCAGCAATATACCAGCTATATGGTGGCAGTCTGTAAATAATCGAGTCTGGACCAGACAATCCAGTGATCAACATCATGAGCATCCATTTAGTAACTCTTCAGTGATCTACACAAGTTGAATATGATGAATGTGTCTACCAAGCCAGTGAGCCTGGCTACCCGATCCCGTAGTTGCCTCTTACGACAAGAAGGGTTACTGAAGATCAATTTTTACTTGGATGTTCACAGATTTGGATCTGCATGTAGTCAGTATCAGTCAGACACTATAGGTACAAATAAATCAAAATACATATTTATCAACATATATTGGTGTACCATTCTTTTTGTATGGGAGTACAGTCTGAGAGGTAAACAAACAATGTGATCGAGACAACCAGTTGTCCGACTTCCATTTTTGTGGAAGCCAGTGTGGCTGAGTGGGTCAGGTTGCTGACATTGTGTGCTGCTGGATTAGGTGCCCGATTCAGAGAGAGTGGGTTTGAATCCTGGATGTGACTCAACAAAACTAAAATCTAAAAGCTGAGAACGTGTAATCCAGATATAATCATGACCCCAATTTTTTTCCCCAACTATTTCTGTTCAGTACCAGCCAATGTCGCACTCCATGAGTGGACTATACGTGCCATTACTGACGTACCTTTTTAAGAACTTTCATGGCAAATATCTTGCCTCCATCTTGGCCTGATATTTTGCGCACTTGGAAGACCTGAAATGGAAACAGAAGGCACCTTAAGGTTTTGAAAAGTCAGAACTGAATCGCTGAATTAATTCAGTAAGTTTCAGTTTTTCAATACAGTAGCCAATTCATAGAATATATACAGGACTAAAATTACCCAAATCCTGTATCCTGCAATCCCTTTTTATCACGCAATGCGTTATAAATAATCGTATGGAAACATCTACTTGCTGCAGTCTAAGAAAACCTACAAACTGTGAACGCTGACAGCAGTGTTGATATTATGCAGGCCATGGGTCACTGTGGTTTGAGGAAAAGGTATTTAATTGTATGGACCAATAAATTCTAAAATAACCCCCAATTTTAACATGTTTAAAGAAATTCTTTTCAAAACAAGAAAAACTGAATTAACAAGTCTAAATTCCACCACTAATTGTTTTTTCAAAGTTCCAAGGCATTTGTGCATTTTAAATTGATGTTTAGAAATATTAAAATCAACAAGAATGTTAGACAACTTTTATCCTAAGTTGAAAAAATTTCAGAGATTTAAATGTTCATTTGGCAAGGTAAAATTATGGGGATTCGCAATCTTAATTTCACTTAACTTGATTTACTTTTTTGTTTAAAGTGAAATTCATCAGTACGTTTTCACTGCAAACAGACTATAAGCTAGTCTATCAAGGCTTATACTATAGTAAGAAGAGTCCATCAAGATTTATACTATAGCTAAGCAAGTCTATCAAGGCTTATACTATAGAAAGGAGAGCCCATCAAGATTTATACTATAGCTAAGCTAGTCTATTAAGGCTTATACTATAGTTAGGCTAGTCTATCAAGGTTTATACTACAGTTAGACGAGACAGTCAAACCTTATACTATAGTTAGGCGAGTCCATCAAGGCTTATACTATGCAAGACTGTGAGGGTTCATACTATAGTTAGTGAGTGAGTGAGTTTAGTTTTACGCTGCACTCAGCAATATTCCAGCTATATGGTGGCAGTCTGTAAATAATAGAGTCTGGACCAGACAATGCAGTGATCAACAGCATGAGCATCGATCTGCACAATTGGGAACCGATGACCTGTGTCAATCAAGTCAGTGAGCCTGACCACCCGATCCCGTTAGTCGCCTCTTACGACAAGCATGGGTTACTGAAGATCAATATTCTAACCCAGACTTTTATGTGTATCATACTATAGTAAGGCGAGACTGTCAAGGCTTATACTGTAGTTAATCAAATCCTATCCAAACACATACCTTCCCATATCCCCCTTTACCAAGGACTTTGAGCAGTTCAAAGTCAGCTGGCCCTGCCTTAAGCTGACCTGGGTTGACCGTCTGCTCCGACAGCTCAACTGTCTCCATCTCCGGATCACTGCAACACAACACATGTTGCTCCATCATACTGCATTGAAACCTGCACGTCCTGACTTCTACACCTGCTGTCATAGTAATCACCTGCCAGCCTAGAGAGCAGTCTGAAGCTCTTTCGATGTGTCGTTGTCTGGCCTTCGGTCATGGAAGGCCAGACAGACAGACAGTTTACTTGCATGAAGGCCATCAGACCAATAGTACAAAAAGGTTTCAAAGTACAATATTACAGAAGGTAGTTTCACAAGGAAAGATTCTAATGGAGGGAAAGGTTTTTGAGACATTAACTAACTACAGTGACAGGGAATGACAGATTATCTTTCCCACGTTATATTAATTAATTAACTCAGGAAAGATAATCTGTCATTATTTAAAATAACTCGGAAAAGATAATCTGTCATTCCTGAAAACTTGTTGGTTATTTTTTTAATTACCCATATCCATATGCTTATGTTTCGATCTAAAAGACGCTAAAATGAAAACAGCATTCTTTATAAGGAAACCTGCAATGTGGGGAATCCCCACGTGTTGACTGGTTGTTTTATTTTCTGAAACAGCCAATCAACGTTCACCATAAGGTGTAACCTCCCTTGGGACTTACAGGAAAAATACTGTCCTGTGTCCTCCTTCCCATATGGGTAATAAACTTACACTATATGGCCTTTCAAACTTGTGAAGTGTATGTGTTGACAGGTTAACTAGCTTAGAATTGTACGTTGATGAAGACAAAGTGTGACTTTATGGCACTGTTTTCAGAAACAAACAATGGCAAAGGAACCTGTCTTAAACTATAAATGATATATTATCCATTGCAGGGCCATTTTAGGACAAAGAAAAAGACAATAAAACACAATTCTTCTTTTGGCCTTAATTATTTCGCCCAGTCATCATGATCATAGCACATGCTAATCTGTTTCAACTCCCACAAAACTACAACAGCCCAACAGTAGAGTCGGCTTAAGTTGTCAGTATACGCCCCTCCCATAACTTACAGTTGTCCCTATGGTAACTGTTTACACAGATAAACAAAACTGTCACACTCTGAGAATAACAATTAATTATTAAATCGCAGCCACTTTTTAAATTAAACAGAGCATCCACATTTTATGTCAGTTTTAGGATTGACATTCGGGATGAAGGAGCTCCCTATCCTATACAGAGTCCAGAGCCAACAGTGTTGTTACCTGTGGCGAATCTGTTCACAGTATGCCATGGTACATAGGCCCTTTCTGAGGCATAGAACCATCCTCAACACAACTCGTAACGACTGTTTACATTGTTCAATTCTCAGTTTACATAATCACTCTCACACTAAAGAGTCATGGGCGTTTCCAACATTTATGCAGTCATTCAACACGGATGTCTCCTGGCTTAGGTAGAAGTGTTATTGATGAAGGATGTAGATGACTTGTAACAAAAAAAGCCATAATCATCTTAATCTATCAATCATGCTAACACACGATTAAACATGTTCAACTCAATTTCAGTACATCTTGATCTAGTGTCGAGAATTAACATTCAGTGAGCCATGAAATTACAGAATCTTGTGTAACAATGCACCTCCAATACTTGTGCTGGCTATCGCTCATACCATGCAGATTGATAACTGGAGCTAAGAAATCATTCAAATATCAATTGCAGGGCTCGATCTTGTGCTTTGTTACTTGCACTGGTACAATCCAATATTACAAACTGCAACCTAGTTATTAGTCTAACTTGCACCAGGTGCACATCAATTTTTGAGTGGGTAAACTTCTAAATAAAACATCTAAATAATTCAATAGCATATTTCTTTCATTACATGTTGCAATAAAAGCAGTGTAACTGGAATTTGGCTGGTGCAACTAGGTTGTTATCTTAGGTTGCACCTGGTGCAAGTAGGTTAACCTCTCTTAAATCGAGGCCTGAACTGTAATCGTAAACCCCACCACCGAACTTATGTGTCTCCCAGAGGTACAGATAAGCCGTGTATCTGCGTAAATTACGCAAATATTTATGTGAATACACAATTCCTATTAAGTCTATTGCGTACAAGTACGCTTGAACAAACACGTAAACCAACATTTAAATTTAAATATATTTTTACAAGTAATGGAAAATGGCAACCTACCCAATTATGTTTGAGTGAGATGGGTACAATTTATTTGGTTCCTAAAAGGAAAATTAGGATACCCAATTGAGATGAACACAAGCGAGTACATAACCCAATGACCCCAAAAGTTATCTGTAGCTCTGTGTCTCCAATGCTCATTCACAATCACTGATACAAGCAAGATCTATCAACTGACCAATTGTTTGATAATCACCCAGCACTATCCAATGGAATAGTGGCCCTAAAGATAAATAGCGATATACTCACTCTTCCGGGCTTAGGGGTCCTTGTTCCTGAAAAAACACATTCAGAAATTATTACTGATGAAGTGGTGTGAGGTACAATGGAGTTATGTCACATTCAAGATTATTACACACAAATAGTGGGGGAGTTTAGGTTGACGCCGCACTCAGCAATATTCCAGCTATATGGTGGCGGTCTGTAAATAATCGAGTCTGGACCAGACAATCCAGTGATCAACAACATAAGCATCGATCTGCACAATCGGGAAACGATGACATGTTTTAACCAAGTCAGTGAGCCCGACCACCCGATCCCGTTAGTCGCCTCTTACGATAAGCATGGGTTACTGAAGGCCAATATTCTAACCCGGATCTTCACGGGTTCACTCAAATAGTCACGTGCATGACTGTGTGTACTCGTTCCGACGTATTCCTGTTTCATAACACTTGCTAAATGTAACCGGGTAATACCATGCCTCTGTTCTGATGTGGATACCCAACCTCAGGACCGCAGAGCATTCTGACAGCCAATGAATCAATCCTCATGTTATCCCCTTATTGCTGAACACCGGGTAGGGTAATATACAATAACTTTTACTTGTCTATGTCTTTCTGTATGATTTGCAGAGTCACTCAGGAATATGTGTCACCTAGATGAAGACTGGCGGAAATGTCACAAACAAAACTGTACACAGTTCTAGCACTGTTTACACTGGCATTAGAAAACAGACAGCAATAACTGGGAAATGCAAAAACTCTACAGAAAGGTGCTGTATGCGCTTCTGTCTATCTGTGCCTCAAAGATTTCGTTCACAAATATACCACAATAAAACATCAACATCACAACCGATGAATCACTGATTCTGCCAACATCGTTGTTCACATCACAATTTTAATGTATAGATAATTCTTCTTTTTTAAAATTTCTGCCAGTACTTTCAATTATGTATGAATTATGTATTAAGCTGACTTCATCGTGCATTTGCTGAGAGTCTTATATGGATGATACTGCTTTTGTTTGTTTAAGGCAGCACTCAGTAATATTCCAGATATGGCAACAGGTTGTTCATAATTGAGTCTGAACCTGACAATCCAGTGATCAACAATGTGAGCATCGCACTCAGCAATATTCCAGCTGTATGGCGACTGGCTGTAAATAATCGAGTCTTAACCAGACAATCCAGTGGTCAACAACACGAGCATCATTATGCACAACTGGGATATGATGATGGCGTCAATTAAATCAGTGAGCCTGACACACACCCCACACATCCTTTTAGTCGCCTCTTATGACAAACGTCATGGGTTACTGCAGACCAACACTAACTTGGGGGTATTGCTGTGAGTAATTATTACATTTTCCTAGTCATTAAAAAATACCTCATGTGACTAACCCATGTCCAAGTTAGGGTCGCGCAATATAACCGGTTTACCGGTATTAACCAGTTCAGACGTGAAAACAATACGTATTGCGATAAGCTGATCGAAAATCAGTATTTTGACATGCATTCGGAAAACTTCGTAACCCTGGGAAGCCTTGACGATCATGGTAACTGTGGTAATGGTGGTGGGAATGAGCGAGGTTAAAATTACATCTAACTGAGAAAAACAAGATTTATGGATGTCAACTTCTATATTGTGAATGAAGCTGACATACATAAATCTTGCTTTTCTTATGCATTCCACTTCTACATGCCCTTCAGAGATTTTACATTTAACTGGATTGTTAAGCTCGGTTTGAAGTTGTGTTCTTAATTTTTGTTCAAGTGTTTTGCAATGTTTTGATTCAGATTGTTTTCACTATTTATTCATTAATGACCAATGATGCCTGATATGTCCTGACCAGGTCAAGTTGCTGTCTAAAATCTCAGGGCTTTTTGGAGAGTGGAGAAAGTAGTTCAAACTTGTAACCACTCTGTTGATGTTAAATTATTCCTTGTTTCATTTGTACCAAATATTATCATGTTCTTATTTTGTCATGATTAAAAGTTTATATTAAAGCCTAATCAAGCGTAGTGATTTTGTTGTGTTTTGCTTTATAAATAAAGCGTTAACTTGATTATAAGTAGTTTATTGTTAAAAAAACAACTGCTTGCAATACATATGGCAATATATGCTTTCGCATCACTATATGAAAAGTCTCTGCAATACCCAGCCCTAGTCCCAGTAGTATCCTGGTACCAAGTAGTATGGCAGTCCCACAGAGGACCATGTACCCCTCCCAGCCCTAGTATCTAAGATAAAGGGTGACTGGATAGATAGAAATTGTGATATGGTAGAGTTCTTAAGTCACTGAAGCTACAAAATAAGCGATATAATTCAAATAATAGCACAATTATTCCATAACACAATCACACACTGTCAACTCCCACACAAAACATGTACACACTACAAAAAACTTCTCAGCTCATAAGTGACCTGTACCTAAAAATCCTGACAATGACGATGGAACAAGGAGAATGTTACAGTATGGTTACTGTGAATGAGTTTCAAAGCATAATGATGAAGCACAAAGTGTACAATCAGCAAAATATGTTTGCATGTCGCCACAGCTGATTTTTTTAAGAAGTGACTCTTTGAAGAGTCAGATAAAAATGATTTGACTGAATACAGCAAGAAGACCATTTTATGCCAGTTATTATGACAAAATCCTGATAATAAGTTTACATGTGTTAAATTATACACCTAAAATTGATATCTTAGATTAATATATGCCAGATTTGACATTTCGTTTGGCCACGCCAACAAACGAAGGCCGACCTAACATCAGTGCAATTTGGCCCAATTCTACAACGTAATAGAAAGTACCGTACACAAAGATACACCACGTCGTGTTCAGGAAATACATTAACACACACAAATGCGAAATGGGGATGTATATTCGGTCAAACATGTTTCTAGATTAGACCGCGCAACCAGTCATTGAGTCAGACGGTTTCTAGCGGGTCTTCCGTTCCACCAATAAGCCTACGTCTAAATTTGGCCCACCTGAAAATTTTCATCAGCCGCGAAAAACTCATCTTCGGAGATTTCCTCATCATCCCCGACACCTTCATGGAGTTCTAAGTCGAATACACCAGCCATAATTCACATCTGGGAACTTGGAGAGAGACATAAAAAGACAAAAGCTGGTGCGAAGATACCGATATAGAGTTCACTCTCCACTCGCTTGTGAAACCCAGGGATTCCGTGTGACGTCATACATCACATGTAAAGAGACTTCCGGTACAAAAGGACCAATCAGAAACGATGGAATCCCGTGTCGGCGGTATATTCAGTCTCTTTCAATCACCCCACAATCAATATGTCTACCTACGCGTAACACCTGTTTAGTACAGTTCACGCAATCCAGAGCGTTTCAGCAGTTATTGAGTGCATATTCGACTCGAAAAACATTCGTAGCGAAAATTCCATACACACACAGCGAATTCGAAGAAAGTTACAAATCGATAACGAAGTTTTATCACAAAAAGGATAACAAAAATAATATAACCCATTAAGAATAAATATTAAAATATTCTCTGACCCATTAGGGATAAGTATTACAATACATGTATGAAATAACCCATTAAGAATATGCATTAAATACAGACAGCTGATAATTAGCATGATTTCTTAAAAAAATTATGTAAATTTGTAGCTTCAACAAAACAAGGCGCACGATTGTTTTATTTACACACAATTATTTCTATGAATTTCCGCAACACACTTGGATGTTCACATAGGACACTATCTCTATTAACAAAATGGATACACGATGCCATTTAGAAAGTGATCAAATGTAACACATGTTACATTTAGGATTACACCTTTGCAGTAAAGACAAGATTCTAGCATGCTCTTAGGGTGAGTCCCATCCGGGATTCGAACCCACTGTCTCGATACAAAATGGAGCAGCGTGGAAGGTATTTCCTATATTACGCACTATAGGACTAAACAGCATCTATATGTTGAACCCATGAAAGTCCGGGGTAAAATTGATCTTCAGTAACCCATGCTTGTTGTAAGAGGCGACTAACGGGATCGGGTGGCCAGGCCCGCTGGCTTGGTTGACACATGTCATCGGTTCCCAGTTACGCACATCGATGCTCATGCTGTTGATCACTTGATTGTCTGGTCCAGACTCGATTATTTACAGACTGCCGCCATATAGCTGGAACACCACAGGACCCACTCTCTGGTTCAGGCCTATTCCACCCCATACCATGATGCTTGCACCTCCCCACGAGTCTCTTTCCATAACACATTGGTCTGAGTAACGCTGGCCACGTCGTCGCCATATTCTTGTTCTGCCATCTGCAGTTGATACGCACTACCGACTCTCATCTGTGAACAGAACAGTTCTCCATTGCCTGTATCGCCAGTTTTGGTGTTGTAGGGCAAACTGTAGACGTTCACGCCGATGACGAAGGGTGAGGATAGGTCCACGGTAAGGTCTACGGCAATGGAGGTTCCCGCTGTTAAGACGTTGGCGTACTGTATCAGTACTGATTGGTCTTCCGTGTGTTCCCACTGTCTGGCATGCTGTTTCGGATGCTTGCATCAGGGAGACTCCCTGCTGAAACCCTCGAGCATGTGGCGCTAACAAACCTATAAACATTATGAGGCTGATCTAGGACTCGAACCCAGGATTATAGATTTCTCAAAAGCCGCGCCTGCGTACATCAACCCAATTGGCGACCCGTGCGGTTATAGTTATGTCCCAGCTTTGAATGGAATATGATATAATATCGTAATACACATCATAACAAAATGTAACATTTGTTTCATCCGCAATCATATTTAGGAATAGTAGCACTCGTGCTTAATGTCAGTATGGAAATGGATGTCTCGTGTAGGTGGGGCTCGTGTAGGTGGGCAGTGGAGCTTCTCCACATAGAGACACAGGGAGGATGTGGAACTGTCAACATTGCCCCTGAATACTTTGGATGGGTTTCTTTGGTGGCACCTGTTATCCGAGGTAAACAGGTGGTCGAATAGGTGATGTCATAGCGGCCATGTTCATCCATCTATATAGATGTCAATCGCAGCTTAGAGCAGTACCCGGATGTTTCCATATCTCATTATATCCATTGTCATGCGAGCTGTGCGTGGGCGGAGGTTATCCTGTTGGAATGTCACGACCCTACGCACCATAGTAACGAACCTCTCTTCAGTCTACCGTCACGACACAGTAGACATTTACTATCTTCCATGACATCACCGGTTTGAATATGGGAATTTCATAACCCTGAATTCACTCTAATTCGGTGAGATATTTAGTTCCCCAGCCTAACCAAACTAATTGTTGCCGTTTGTGGGCTACTGACAAGTATTGCTGTATACCTACATCACAGTGGTGTGTGCTGATACAAGCAGCCATCGTTAACCTGTATGCACTGGTTTTAGAGTCAACATGTCGTGCATCTGGCTTCTCCGGCCTGCACCCACTGCACGGCCATTGGTAGCCTAGACTTGCTCCAAGGCTGTACTAAGCTCATGGATGTATAGTAATTCTATCCTTCGCAGAGGCAAGTCTAGATAAGCGGACAGTCTAAGGACCTCAGTCTGTTATTTATTATTTTGTTTAGAAATAATCATTTATACTATTGATGTTTACGTCAGAGATTTGTGCAAGTCTGTACCATTGGGTGTGACAGCTACTGTAATATAGTCTCATCTTATGCAGCTAGATTTCATCTTCATCAGCCCATGCTTGTCTCCCGTGAAGATCCGGGTTAGAACAGGTCTTCAGCAACCCATGCTTGTCTCCCGTGAACATCCGGGCTAGAATTGGTCTTCAGCAACCCATGCTTGTCTCCCGTGAAGATCCGGGTTAGAATTGGTCTTCAGTAACTCATGCTTGTCTCCCGTGAAGATCCGGGCTAGAATTGGTCTTCAGCAACCCATGCTTGTCTCCCGTGAAGATCCGGGTTAGAATTGGTCTTCAGCAACCCATGCTTGTCTCCCGTGAAGATCCGGGTTAGATTTGGTCTTCAGCAACCCATGCTTGTCTCCCGTGAAGATCCGGGTTAGAATTGGTCTTCAGCAACCCATGCTTGTCTCCCGTGAAGATCCGGGTTAGAATTGACCTTCAGTAACTCATGCTTGTCTCCCGTGAAGATCCGGGTTAGAATTGGTCTTCAGTAACTCATGCTTGTCTCCCGTGAAGATCCGGGCTAGAATTGGTCTTCAGCAACCCATGCTTGTCTCCCGTGAAGATCCGGGTTAGAATTGGTCTTCAGCAACCCATGCTTGTCTCCCGTGAAGATCCGGGTTAGATTTGGTCTTCAGCAACCCATGCTTGTCTCCCGTGAAGATCCGGGTTAGAATTGGTCTTCAGTAACTCATGCTTGTCTCCCGTGAAGATCCGGGCTAGAATTGGTCTTCAGTAACCCATGCTTGTCTCCCGTGAAGATCCGGGTTAGATTTGGTCTTCAGCAACCCATGCTTGTTTCCCGTGAAGATCCGGGCTAGAACTGGTCTTCAGCAACCCATGCTTGTCTCCCGTGAAGATCCGGGCTAGATTTGGTCTTCAGCAACCCATGCTTGTCTCCCGTGAAGATCCGGGTTAGATTTGGTCTACAGCAACCCATGCTTGTCTCCCGTGAAGATCCGGGTTAGATTTGGTCTACAGCAACCCATGCTTGTCTCCCGTGAAGATCCGGGCTAGAACTGGTCTTCAGCAACCCATGCTTGTCTCCCGTGAAGATCCGGGCTAGATTTGGTCTACAGCAACCCATGCTTGTCTCCCGTGAAGATCCGGTTTAGGATTGGTCTTCAGCAACCCATGCTTGTTTCCCGTGAAGATCCGGGCTAGATTTGGTCTTCAGCAACCCATGCTTGTCTCCCGTGAAGATCCGGGTTAGAATTGGTCTTCAGTAACTCATGCTTGTCTCCCGTGAAGATCCGGGCTAGAATTGGTCTTCAGTAACCCATGCTTGTCTCCTGTGAAGATCCGGGTTAGAATTGGTCTTCAGCAACCCATGCTTGTCTCCCGTGAAGATCCGGGTTAGAATTGGTCTTCAGTAACTCATGCTTGTCTCCCGTGAAGATCCGGTCTAGAATTGGTCTTCAGTAACCCATGCTTGTCTCCCGTGAAGATCCGGGTTAGAATTGGTCTTCAGCAACCCATGCTTGTCTCCCGTGAAGATCCGGGTTAGAATTGGTCTTCAGTAACTCATGCTTGTCTCCCCGTGAAGATCCGGGCTAGAATTGGTCTTCAGTAACTCATGCTTGTCTCCCCGTGAAGATCCGGGCTAGAATTGGTCTTCAGCAACCCATGCTTGTCTCCCGTGAAAATCCGGGTTAGAATTGGTCTTCAACAACCCATGCTTGTCTCCCCCGTGAAGATCCGGGTTAGATTTGGTCTTCAGCAACCCATGCTTGTCTCCCGTGAAGATCCGGGTTAGAATTGGTCTTCAGTAACTCATGCTTGTCTCCCGTGAAGATCCGGGTTAGATTTGGTCTTCAGCAACCCATGCTTGTCTCCCGTGAAGATCCGGGCTAGAACTGGTCTTCAGCAACCCATGCTTGTCTCCCGTGAAGATCCGGGCTAGATTTGGTCTTCAGCAACCCATGCTTGTCTCCCGTGAAGATCCGGGCTAGAACTGGTCTTCAGCAACCCATGCTTGTCTCCCGTGAAGATCCGGGCTAGATTTGGTCTACAGCAACCCATGCTTGTCTCCCGTGAAGATCCGGTTTAGGATTGGTCTTCAGCAACCCATGCTTGTTTCCCGTGAAGATCCGGGCTAGATTTGGTCTTCAGCAACCCATGCTTGTCTCCCCGTGAAGATCCGGGTTAGAATTGGTCTTCAGTAACTCATGCTTGTCTCCCGTGAAGATCCGGGCTAGAATTGGTCTTCAGTAACCCATGCTTGTCTCCTGTGAAGATCCGGGTTAGAATTGGTCTTCAGCAACCCATGCTTGTCTCCCGTGAAGATCCGGGTTAGAATTGGTCTTCAGTAACTCATGCTTGTCTCCCGTGAAGATCCGGTCTAGAATTGGTCTTCAGCAACCCATGCTTGTCTCCCGTGAAGATCCGGGTTAGAATTGGTCTTCAGCAACCCATGCTTGTCTCCCGTGAAGATCCGGGTTAGAATTGGTCTTCAGTAACTCATGCTTGTCTCCCGTGAAGATCCGGGCTAGAATTGGTCTTCAGTAACTCATGCTTGTCTCCCGTGAAGATCCGGGCTAGAATTGGTCTTCAGCAACCCATGCTTG